AGATTATTGAAGTCAGGGTGTGGGTGTGGTTGGATATGGAGTGTGAGTGTGGATGTTAATTAAGAGAAGGTGGACACTCATTCCCACATCCACCCACACTCACCCCCTGACTTTGATAATCTTTTTATGTCGAAAGTTAGTGCTCGTTGAGATCTGGGTAAGAATGGGTCATAGTGGATTATAGTGAACCGATCGAAATGATATTTGATATTTTTTATCAAAAGTTTTTCAAAGAAAATGGCTTATAGTGGGATGCTATGAGTGTGAAATTCTAAGCTCTATCGATTGATAATAAATTGGAGTTAAACGAGGGTTGGATATGGGGTATAGCATATTTTACCAATACTCCGTAATAATAGAGAACTCATGTTGCTTCATATATTGTCTTTTATCTTTAATTTGTACAAGTCCTGATATTTTCTATTCATATGCAATAGAGAATTGTTTCAAACTACATCCCAATCACTTCGGCTATGAACAACAATTGTAGTTAATCTAGTAAAGAAAAGAAACTTTCAGTTTTATATTCAAAACAATATATATGTAATTTTTCTGAAGGACAGCCAAACAAGTGATTCATTGTGTAATTTGATATTTTCAACAATACTTTGCGTACTATTGCTTTTTTCTCTGATTAAATGATCTGTCTTCAAAATAGATTAAATCGATCAGACATCAAAATACATTATACCGGATAAACGCATTCAGACTTGCACATTGCATTAAAACGAGAAACAACACTTGATGTGTAATATTGTTGACTCAAAACTATTGAGAAGACAATATTGATTTGAAAGCTCAGTTACTTTAAATAACAAAACAAAGTTATTATCAAAGAAATGGACTAACAAAAACTAAAAAAAAAATAAGAAAATATCACAATAAAATTCACGTCATAGTTACTACACTATTACAAAAAAAAATGTGATTCAATGAATTTGAGAGCAATTCAAAATAGACTCCTCTAATAATTTATTAATAAATCGTTGTTGTTCAAATTGATTTCCAAATTCTTCAAGATTTTTTTCTTTTTTCTGTACAGTTTCTTCAAGTTTTATTTTTAATTGTTGATTAATCTGACGAGCATCGATTAGATCTTGCTTGAGATCACGTTGTATTCGTTCAAGACGAATACATGATTTCATTGTATCTGAAAGACGATTTTCTACTAAAGCAATTTCTTCTTCTATCTGTTTTTTTAACTTTATAAGTTCAGTTTCGTGTTTATATTTTGATCGATCAATTGCCGCTTTTAAATTACGTATTTGTTCTTTTAACCGACTATCAATCGAATAAGTTGGTGTACGTGTACACGGATTATAACATTTTCGAATAGATAAATAATGTTGATTAACAAAATGTGGTTGATCAAGAAAAATACGATCTACTGAATCATAATCTTCAAAACTTAATAGAAATGTACGACCATTATCAAGAATTCTCCATTGAAGAATTGAACCGTAGTTACCAAAATAAGCCAAAACATTTTTTTTATTAAAAGACAAATCTTAATAAAATATTTCGTATAAGTTTGTATCATTCATATTTATTTTAATGGATACAAACCGAATTTATCAAGATGTATTAAAATATATCTAGTAATGGGCCTTTGATCTTTTGAAATTTCTCTTAGATTTCTTTTGATAATAAAACGATGTTCTTGTTTGATTTGAGCACGTTTAGCTAAACATTGATCAACACTTGAAATTGAAGCAAATGTTAAAATTGCAAAACAATAATCTACAAATGCAAACATTTTAAACATTTAAGAGAATCGAGACAATAAACAAACCATTTAGTACTGCATTTGCACATGGATAAAAATGACATTCTGTAATACTACTTTGTTTGATCAATTGATGAAAATAATCACACAAGGATTCAGAAGTCCATGAATCTTTACGAAATACACCAACATATAGTTCATGTCGTTGGAGTTCTTTTGAATCACTTGATAAAGACATTAACCTTAAGAAGTTAAAATTAAAAAATAAAATTTCTGACTACAAAAAAAACCACTTTTTATGCTTTATTATCATGTATAAACAAATGAGCATATAACAGAGATTTTATACAAAAAAAAAGTATGTAAAAAGAAATAATTCTCTATAGTTAAGAATTTTCGTGTAGATACATAATAGCATCTTGTAATGATTGATTTTTTAGCTTTTGTTCTTCAATTTGATTTTCATAGTCATTTTTATTCTTTTCATTCTTTCTATTAACTTCTTCTATTTGTTGTTTTAATTGTTCATTTAAATTAAATAATTGAAGAAAATTTTGTTTAAGATCATTATATTTATTTTCAAATTCATGTAAAGTTTCTTTTGTTTTATTTAAGTTTTGATTACTTCTTGAAATTTGTTTATTCAGATTATATTTCACTAAAGCAAATTGTGTTTTATATAAAATTTTTAATGGATGCATAAAATCAGTAAGATTTCGACATATTGGATACCATCGTTTAACTTGACGAGCATTTTTTGGATCAATAAAACGAAATTGTGATAAACTACAAATATATTCTGGTGCAGTATATTTATGAACAGAAAGTAATTGCCTATTTAAATAATGTGGAATATCAAGAAGAATACGATCGGAAGAATCAAAATCTTCAAATGTTATTAAACATATACCAGCACTATCCTCTTCTTCAAGCATTTTCAAATCTATAATCGTTCCATAGACACCAAAATATGAACGAATATTTGCTTCGGTGAATAATCGATCTATTTAATAGAAAAATAAATCATTTCAAATATTTATAATTGGAAGAAAGGAAGAGTACATCTCCTTTTCGACTACTTTGCATTATGGAGTGTTGATTACCGACAGATTCATTAGCCCGATATCTTTCCAACAGCTAATACTAGCTGTTGTTCTGGATAGAGAAGCCCTGTCTAGTACAGAATTCTTGCACTCAGTCGCTGTGCACACTGACTAGTCACATACTAGACTAAGAATGAGGGATTCCGACTCTTACAAGCCAAAAAATTAGAAACAAAAGAGGACACTTCTAGCTCTGTTCAGCATAAAATACGTACAATTCAATGGTCTACGTGAGTAGTTCACAATTACCTTTTAATCATTAAGGGAACGATTCAAAATCAGATTCAGATTCCTAAAAAAGCCGACTTTGCCTATTCCTATACTAGACACGAGGGCAAGTGTATGTTACAGCTTAGTCAGCATGGTATCGGACGAGTGATTCGAAACAAATAGCTGTTAGTGACTTGCTGAGGATGGTTCTATAGCTGGCGACACTGCCGTTTAAACACAGTACCTAGTAGATACATACTGTAAGCGTAGCCATTCAACCATGAGGACTCTTATTTATAATTGTATTAATCATTTACCTAGTACAGTTATTCGAATAACGATATCTGTTGATGACATAAGTCTTTCACATTTCGTTATAGTATCTGGTAATAAACGTTTTATTGTAATTCCATAATCATTATTAAATTGTGTTCTTTTAGTCATACAACGATCAACACAAGCTTCATCAGTAAATGTTATAAATGCAAAAGATTTTCCTATTAAAAATAAGAAAGAATTTTTAAAATTTTTAAAAATAATTAATTAACCTTCAAATCTTGGTTCGCCATATGACATTAATTCACAATCAACGATATATTGTTCATCGTTTGCACTACCGTGTTTATTGAAATATGCACATAATTTTTCATTAGTCCATGTTTCATTATCAAGAACACCAACGAATAATTGTCGACGTTTTATTGACATTAATCTACAATCAACAATATTTATAGATAATTAGTTTCTTATATATTTACAAAAATATCAAACAGTATAATGAAACAAGATGTGCTACGTTGATTATATTCATTAGAAACAAGTAAAACAAATCGATTACTTATTTTTTTGAATCATCTTCTGACAAGTCAAGTCCTCTAATTGTTCAGTTGTTTTTGAGTCGAGACTATGTGCATTATGTAGATCCAAATGAGCTATGAATATCTGAAAAGGAGTTCGTATCCTTAGCTTATTGCTAAGGAAATATTGCACTTTTACGATATTTTAAAATGCTGTGTCCACTGAGGAACATCAGAAGAACTTATTTTCGAATTTTGGCTTGAAATGTTACATAGAGAAAAATCTTAACGAGAATAGTTTCTTATGAATGTTTCAGATGTCATCGTTGTTTCGCATTCTGAGATACAACTATAGTAATATTGTATATTCTGCATCGCTCGTATAAATCAACAGATTTGAAATTTTTATTTCAGGATAGAAGTAAATCAAAAGATCTAAAACTTTCACGATAAATATTTCTCGTTAAGATCTGTCTCTATGCAAAATTTTAAGTCGAAATTCGAAAATAAATTTTCTTGGTGTTGCTGAGAGAAACTATGGCATTTATCTAAAAAAATACTCGAAAAATGCCGTATCTCTGCAACAATGAGCTCAGGACACGAACTCTTGCCACAATATTCATAGTCTATTTTGATCTACATAATGCACATAGTCTTGGCTCAAAAGTGAAGGAACAGTTGTAAGGCTTCGCTTACTAGATTTCATATCGAACTCAATCTTATATAATTTGACTTAAGATTACTTATTTCTGCAGATATTCTCACGGTTGTTTTGTTCAGATGATTCTGTCTTATTTTTCAAAATATTTTCAAGTAATTAAGTAACAAAACCAAAGATTTATTTATTAGTATTTTATTTTTTCTGTATTTGTATGCTACAAAAAAATAAAAATCTAGATTCTGTTCAAATTCATTTTGATAATAACAATAACAATAAGAAAATCAAAAATAATCTTTGATACATACAAAACAACAAAGACAATAATTATTAACAAATATTGCTTATAATATAGGTAATAATACAATTATGAAAGACAATGGACGGATTAAACTAACTAGAAACTAATGTTTGATTGATAATTTGTTCAACTTTCTATTTAAAAAGAAAAATTATATGATAATTAAAATTTCTATTCGTTTGTCTACTTACCATTTTTCATATTTCTAAATTTGTTTATTTTCATCATTCACTAGTTAAATAAGAATCCGTTATTGAATCAATATTATTCAAAAAGAAAATGTTTACTCTTTTTAAAAGGTTTTTTAGCCATTTGTGTAGAAGAAAAATCAATGACTAATAAAAGAAAGGATTCACAATTTCAATATTAAGTAAAATATTACAAATTTAATATTTGCGATGAGAACATTGAATTAAACTTACTATATGGTTTGGTAACGATATTTGGCTGTAATTCATCTGCATCAACAACCGATGCTCTTAGACTAATTGGTTCTGGATACAAAATAATGTATGAATTATTTAGAGCATACCAAAAGTAGTGGTGGAGATATTTTAATTTCTTATAAAAAGTTTAAAGAAACTTTCTTCCTATATGATCTGATAGTACAAACAACGGTCTACATTTCTTTGATATTTGATTATGCTGTGTAACTAATTAAATTTCGATAAGAGTTGTTTGTTATGATACATAACGGTAGTATTCGATCACGTATTATATTCAATGTGCATCCACTTTGATTTTCTTCTCTCTGTTTTTTTTCTCGTCTTCTTTAATGCTTCGCCTTCTACATATATCAGAGTGTAGAAAAAACAAAAATTCGATAAATAGATTCAATGAATGCAATTGAGTGTGAATAACTTATGTCGAATATTCAATGAAATAAGGACTTGATGAAAATATGTGTATTTATTTTTCGTTCTATCGTCGTCACTTTTTCTGCACCTTGATATATATATAGACGGTTAGATATTAGAGAAGACGGAAAAAAAAGACAAGAAGAACAAAGAAGATACACATTCAAGATAAAATGTCATCTGTTGCTCTCATCACGTATCATAACAGACAGCTCTTATCAGAATTTTATTATCATGATATTAGTTGAAGAATGATGAAATATCAGAGAAATATAGACTATTATTTTTTACTATCAGAATCAGAGTTGTCCATACTTTTTAAGGATGGAGACTAAAAACTCAGCAGAAAGTATTTTCATTCTAGAAGTGCTAGAAGTGGTGATCGGAGGGGGAAGGGAAAGAACAAAACTCATCGTGAATCGGCCTCTTCCATAACAAACGATCTGCCACCAAGCCATCTCTCTACTGGTGCCTGTCACAATCCTATTGACCTAACAACGATATTGTCTGCTTATTTTTATTCCACTGTGTGCCAGAGAAAGGTCAATGGTGTTTTAAAATTCGATTTCTGTCCAAAGTTATCACCAAGCTGTAAAAAAATTGGTAGAATGTGTTAAAAATTTTACCAGAAAGTCGGACATTATGGGGTGAGGAGGGAGAACCCTGATCTAAATCAGAACTCGGATGAAAGTATTTGTACTTGTACTTCGAGATCAATACTTTCATACTTACACTTAAATACAAAAATCTGTATTTCATACTTTTTTGGCAATACGAAGCAATGTCGTTTAGCGTATTTGAAGTCTCTTGCTGAACATTTCGCTATTGCTGTCAACGAAAGACGACGCTTCACATATTAACACTTATTCGGTTAAGTCGTTTAACTGTTTACTAAATACATATATAAGCTTAATAAAAATTAAAACGAAGTTTGAGCTTCTGTTTATTTGTAAAAACCTAAGACTCTTATATAAAATCATTTTTTATATCAGATAACTCTATAAGTTTTTATTCAAGTAGATTTTCATCCTAAGCATATTAAATTGTTCAATTTATTAGTCACATATCAAAATAGATCTAATAAATTACATCTATGTTTAGTTCAATATTATTAGAAAGAATTAATTATTTTAGTCTAAACTTTTGAGGAAGATCTAAAATATCTTCAAGAAACCTTTCATCAACATTCGATTTTAAAATTCATCCAGTCAATCTTTGAAAACTCCTATTGATGATTCGAAAATGCAACGAAGTAATAATCTGTCCTGGCTTGTAGAACATGAGTCTAAATTCAAGTATTATTTTTTCTTTAGTGCCATCGAGAACTATATTTATTTATAACAGTAAGTCGAATAAGCATGATCATTTATAGACATCCATCATTATTTTGAAAAAATTCGAACAATTAAAATAAATGATTTTTATAAGTGTCCTGCAGTGAATTTATCAGCATATGAGAGAGAATAAAAATTCTTATTTTCATTTATTTTTTGATCAGATGACGTCATGCTAGTCCTGAAAAACTTATCAGAGACAGACGAAGTTTATTATATTTATATCTCAAGTATAGTTGTGAAAAGACTAGTTGAAGTACAAGCACATTTTTTTATAGTACAAATATTTTTATTTGCTCGATTTGCACTCGTTTTACCTCTGATCAGAACATACAGAGAGAAAGTTTCTTTAAATTATTTATAAGGAAATAAAATATCTTTGTTACTACTTATGGTATGTCTTAAATATAATAAAAAAAAATTATTTACCTTTTGAACATTTGCATTCATCTATTTGATTTTGTAATTTATCAAGATCAAACTGGAATTCATTTAGAATAATTAATGTCTTTTAAAATATACACGTTATTCATTAATGAACTAGGACAACAAAAAAAAGAATCCTACTTCATCAGATGAATTATGTATAAGATTAGTCAATTGTTCGAAACGTTTTAACAATTCTTGTATTTTGATATGTTGATGGAAACTTTGAATTTCATTCTCAAAAAAACAAAAACAAAAGAAAATTTCCATTTTTATTTATACAGGAAATACTTACCCGAAGAGAATTGAACTGTTCATATAATCTAACTATATTTTTATGCATCATATTTTCTAATCGAATTTTTGTTTCTTGATTTAAATTCTATTCAAAGAACAATTCTTTAAATCAATTCCATAGATAGTTTCTTACATCCAATTCATTGGATTTTTTAGGAAAATATGTTGATTTATATTCAATTTTTTGCAAGTTAGATGAGACAAAATTATTCTTATTTAATAATATCTAAATATAAAAATTTGATTAAAAGAAAAATAAAATAAAATGTATTCAATACTTGAACTTGTAATTTTTGTAATTGATTATAAACAAATGAAAAATTCCAATTTTCAAGAAAATTAATACGTGTTTTTATTTGTTCAATTGATGGTAAAATATTATTTAATTCCATTTTCAAAGATTTCTTTTCGACTATTGAAATAAAACTAAAATCAAATGAAAATTGAAAATAAAAAAAAATAATTTACCTTCATTTATACGTGACGAAAGACTGTGAACTTCATTCTTCAATTCAATATTTGTATAGGTCAAACTAAAACTATGACAAAAAAAAGGAGATTGAATATAATTACGTAAAAAATACAAAAGAATTACCAAACAATCATAAAAATACAAAGAAAACTAAAAGAAAGAATATGTTGGGAATAATTTCTAAGACGAAGATATCGAGATGAATGCCTATAGAAGAAATAAGAGTTCAATTTTTATTGTCAAATTTCATAAACTTACAGTTTAGTGATCGATATTTTTCGATGAGGTATAAATAACTCATCTTCAGAATTTCGAAGTACATCATTCGAATTACTTTTTGTTACATGAAATTCCATTAAAGAACCAAACTGTTTATGTTTTCTCATTTTTTTATTTAAATCACGTGGAATATTTGAAGACATATCAATTTCTAAATCATTAAACATATTATCCATTAGATCAACTTTACTCTAAACAGGGATATCTCGGTGTCGTCGGGGTTGGGAGAAGGTCGATGACTCAGAAAGCCGATTTGGAAATTTTTGCTAAAATTGACTGAATTTCGAGGAGGCAGGATTTGAACGTTTTTTTTGGGAATAGACGAGCAAAAGAAAGAATAGAACGCTGGAACTCCATTGCAGAAAAACGAAAAATTTTCAATATTGGATGGATCATTCTCTCAACTTGCCCTCTCGCTAGGTCGAGACGTCCCTGAGTCGAGAGTAATTTTTATTTAATTTACATGTGTTTGTAATCAGTGAACATGGAAATCTTATTTGATGAATGTTGGAATGTTTGAATTGATAATCATCGAAAAATAACTACAACAAATAAAATTGATAGGTAAATTTATTCATTAAAAGATCATTTCTAAACAAAAATATTATTACAATATGATTTACTGGTTGTGAAAAATGACTCAGAGATGACTTACCATATCATTTTTAAAAATTTAGAACATTTTTTCGTCGAAAAGAAATGTTTTAGTGACTCACTTCATCATCATAGTGCTTTTTCCAGTGATGGCATCTGTAACCATTGATAAATATTTTGCTAGAGGACGTTAGATATCAGAGATGACAAACAATTCTTCGAGATAATCTAAGTACTGTTCTCAAAATTAGTCATCGTTGATTTTGAAAATGAACAAAATTTTTATACAATTTTTAACTAAGCAATTATTTGTTTTGTCTCTATTATATCTTTAAGGTTTTTCTGGAAATTTATTAATAAGAATTTAATGACAAGTGATAATAAAACTAAATCATCTGAATTATTAATTATATATTTTGATAAAATCCGAATAAAACGATCGGTAAAATAGTGTTATTTTAAATATGTTAATTGTTAGTTTGTTATAATTTTGATAGTGACGAAATAATCGAAGAAAATCAATTTGAAGAAAAACTTGAACAAATTATGGTATATAAATTATTTGTTATTTGTACAACTAATTTCTAATTATATCAAAGATACAGACATTGATGAAATAATCTATACAAAAAGTATTAACAAAAAGATTGATCAAACAATGAAGTGTATCAAATGATTGTGAAAATCGATGATTTCATTATTAAAAGTTAATTTTATATCAATTCGTTTATTTTTCGTCTACTTTTGTTTCCAAAAGGAAATATGTGGCTCACACTATTCATCAAAACTTGAAAAAATACTCAAAGATATTATATAATAGTATTAGTAGAATTTTAACTCTTTCGGTACCAGTGTAGAGAACGCTGTACACTTTTTTAAAGCTTTTTAATTTGTGAATATCCTAAGAACGCAAAATGATTTTGAGATGCGGTATCTTCTAAGACGGAAAAGGCGTTTTCATCCATATATTCACATAAGAATTATAAATCTAATAAGGTTATTCAAACAATAAAATGGGCAAGCCTTTCCGAGATGGAGTACGTCATATTTTAGAGATTATACTAAAGTGTAGAACATAGGTAATATAAATGAGTGAAATCGAATTTCATGAAGACAAATACAATGGTAGTCGATGGTAGTAGAGTAAAACACACTTGGATAGTTGCTCGGTACTACAATCTGTGTGATATAGACATCTGAGTCTTTTTTAACTGGAAAGAGATCTACAGAATGTCTCAAAAGTCATGTCAACTTAAGAAATGCTCATAACTGCATTACTAAACAAACTTAATCTAGTATTTTTTTTATTTGGAAGATGAAAGCATCAAGTTTTTCTTTTGTCTAATACAAAGCTCATAAATACTGTTTAAATGTATTGTCTTTAATTTCAATACAAAAATGCAAGCATTTCACAATTTCTAAAAAAACATCATATAACGTGTCTTTTTTTTTATTATTTGGATTTCTTTTTTTTATACTATTCTGTAAATCATCCGGATCTTTTACTGTTGTTTTCAGATGTCCCAAGTAAAGGAAGTCCAATAGTGTCCGGTCTGGTGATGGAGAATCCACACCTACACCTTAGTCTTCCTATTCAAAAAAGGGAGTATATATAAATGAATAATTCTAGAGATCCTGTAATTCTACATTTTTATTTGAAATCAAGTGTTTTTTTTCTCTAAATACAAATTGAATCAAATAACTCATTGCATGAGTACTTTATATGATGCTGTTTTTGTTAAGAACTGTAAATCAGTAATAAATTTATTGACTTTCTCATATATAAATTCACTAGATATTAAAAAAGTCTATCTAAATAGTTAGTCTCTTCAGCATGAGATCCATGACTTCTTTCAATAGGATTTTATAAATTGCTTATTTATTTCTTTATCATTCATTTTATTTACCATTAACATTTTTGGATTAATGATGAGGCCTATTTCCAAATAATAAATTCAATTAAAAAAAAAGATAACAATTGATGAATAAAATATGATCTGACAGGATGCCATTATTCGGCTTGTTCTGGAGTGAAGTATTGCATGATATTTCTACCGTGTTTAAGTCGAGTATTTCCAAACCGCGTTTAGTAATATTTAAGAGGAGAGCATTTGCATGATGTCAGCCACATTGTACAACAGTGGACTCCAATTTTGATGAAAATCTCAGCCATTATAGACCCGTTAATCTTAACCATTTTGATAAAAATCTTGTTTTAAGTTTTCGCTTTGACAGAAATAGACTCAAAATACTTTAAGCAGTGAAAAACCAAAAATCCTAAAAAAAAAACGGTTTCTTTTACATAATTTTTTCGAATAGTGACTGACAGTTTACTTTACTACGACAAAGTTAAAAAGAAAATCGAAGACTATATTCAGATTTGTCATGAGACGACGCATCGAATTACACAAAAGTTAACTTCATTCTTGGCTAAGTCTTCAAACTTATATATATTCTCACTACTCAATGAACACACAATAATACCGTCCTATCTTGGTTTCACAATTAGAAATTTTTTTATAGAAATGCTGAGGATTAAAAGTCCTGCAAAGGCTGAAACTTTTATAAAAATCGGAGATCACTGTTGCATGGCGTGGTTTGCACCATGGAAATATTCTTCTCTTAAATATTGAAAAACATGATTTTTCATTTCTTTTTTGTTTCGTATTTTGTCGAATGAAAGAAGAAACAGCTCATATCTAGTGTACGTTGTAGAGCAATCGATTCTCTACAGAACACTGTATATAGTTATGCTCACAAATTTCATTTTTCGAACATTTTATTGGTTCTAAGATGTTCACCCTACTTCAGAAGGTAGTTCTTGACATATAATAATACACCGCTCGAAACATTTAAAAAACTATAGTGCATTGTAGCTAAGACCATGTACCATCAGAATATATATATATATATAGATAGTCAAGACTTTATACGTACAATTCGTAAAACTTTTTGTATCGAATTATTTTTGACTGTAATCTAATTTTCGCAGCTTCATATCCAATCATGGTCATTTAGATCAACAAGGTCTACAAACTCTGAAAGTTTTCTTTGATTCAAAAATATTTGACGTAACGTGGTAGAGATACCATGGAGAATTTCATAAATGAAAGTAATCATTCCAATTTTATTTTGTAAGTTTGGTTTCAATAAAGATCATAAAACCATTGATAGGTTCGTGTGTGATAGAGTACATTAACACGAGCAATTGAACGACAATGAAATCGAGTTTTTCATTATCACTCAATACCATTCTGATTCTTTATGAGCATTGATAAAATTCTACAAGCAGAGAAATCCAAGTTTTTTCATAGTTCAGTGTATTAGTAATTATGGAAATGAGAAAGTGACAAGAAATTAACGAAGAAACAAGCATGATATCATATGACCATCCTAGTCTAATTCTGTATATTTTTGTCAGGATGAATATGATAATTTGAAAGTTTAGATTATTTCTTATGTTTCCATATTTTGAACTACAATGAAATTTGGATTCTTTTTCAATTACTGCTAATGCAGCGGCTTATGTACCTTTGAATGTGGATATCAATAGTCTGGAATATATGTTTTCTTTTTATTCCATCTTCGACGTCGATCATGGTAGCTCTTATTTGGTACAGTGACCTTTGTTAACAAATAAGGTCAAAAAAACAGCTATGTTGATGTTAAAAAATGATTATTTAAAATTGATAAGATATTGAAAAGATCTTTAAAGAAAATTGATTATATAAATTACAAGAAAAATCATCGTTTAATCCTTATCATGTATGCAATTTAATTGTTTATAGATAAGTTGATTTTATTAGTTTTATATTAAAAAAAATTCTAATAAATTTTGTTGCTTATATTATTTTATAAATCATAATATTAATCAATTTCAGAAAGATTAAAAAACAAAATGAAAAATATATTTTTACAGATATAAATTGGCTATTATCAAAATACCAATATAAATATCTTATAAACAAAAGTTTTTGAAAGATTATGTAACATTATGTTGCGAAAATAAGAAAAATTTTCATTTAAAAAAATCATCCAAATAAATCGCCCATATCTTGTGGGAGAATAGTATGTGTAGGACTATCAATAAGTAGAAGTTTACTTGCACCAGGTTCTTTCAAATGAGGATGTAATTGATAAATTTCTTCAATTGTATCTTCATGTAGTGCAACATCAATATAAAGTGTACGTAAATGAACACATCTATATGCTAAATAAATTACAGCTTGATTAAATGCTGTTGTTCGTGTCATTGCAGCCCATTGACCAGATGTACAAATATGAACATGTTCTAAAGTATCACTAAAACTATTTGCTGCTAAACAAAGTTCGTCAGCAACTGGTATTGGTGTATTAATAACCAATGTGTGTACCTAGAAAGAAAAAAAAAACAATTCGTGTTTATTTTCGATAGAATAAACATACTGGTAATTGTAAATTAGCATTCATATAAGCTCGAATACGATTAAGTGGTGTTGTTAAACCAAAATTTAATGTCATTTTTAAATCAGGATATTTTTCATGTAACATTTGCCATAATTTTGTATCGATTTCATCTGAAAATTTTTCTTCTCTTCTTATTCTTATACCTAAATGGTTAAGTGGTGATTTTCGAATTAGTTGTTGATCATCAGCTTTTTCAACAAGCAATAGAATAAACTCATCTGATAATGATACCATATCAATCCATAAATCTTCAAGTTCTTTAAGTGTATCAATTATTTGTAAAATACAAAATGGTGTTAAAATACAAACTAATGATTGATCTTGTAAATTTAATTTACGTAAATATGGATTATTTTTAGTTAATGTTAAAATTGTATCATCATCTAATGATATTGTAAGACCGGATAAATCACATGAAATAAGAGATTCTCGACGATTTTTGGAAGCATCATATTGAAAAAATGTTCGTAATGCTTGAATTATATTTTGAGATTTCATTAATAATGGATTATGACTAATAAAACGTAAACGAAATGAATGAATTTGTCGACCTTCGGAACATTGTTCTGGTCCAAAAAGTGTTAAAAGTTGACAAAGAACATAACGACACGAAACATCATGTTGTTCAACATCAATATATAAATTTTTAACATCTTTATGAAACCGTTTTAAATATTGTTGAATATAACCATATGGTCTTGGATCAGTATTTGTCATATATTTTGGTTGATCTCGAGTTTGCCGTACCCACCGTGGTAAAACACGACCAACTCGGTTTGGAATTGGATTAATTGGTTCTTCAACAAATGCATGTAATTGTATAACACAAGTAAATGCAAGACTAGGAGAATTTCTTAGAATATTATACCATAATTTACATGTTTCTTCTAAAACAGCTCGTTCATCGATTGATAAATAAGAAAATATTTGAACTAAGGCAAGTTCAGGAAGGTCATTTATAGGACAATGTTCTATCTCATCTGATGATGCCATATTCTGTAACGATGCTTCTATTTTCTGCTTCTAGAAAGAGGAATATATTTATATATGTAGGAATACATACGCATAAGAACGGGAAAATAGCTTATAGAATATAATGTTCTTTCTCAATGCAATATTATTAATATGGTGAAACAGAGAATAGAATGAAAGACATGTGGTTATGAATCATCTATCGTTAGTACATAAAACACATTGCCTTATTAGGAGTGAGTGTGTGTTTCGAAATCACCTTTTTTGGTAAGAAAAATATTTACGAAAAATTGCCTGTTGTAACAAGTCGAAAAAAGGACACGGCTTTATTTTTTTTTCATTTTATTTTTTTCAATCTTATACGACATTTCGATATCAAGTAAAAAACAGCAGTGACGGAGATTCGAGTCATTAATTCATTCATGAGAATTTGGATTTTTACTAGAAAATAAATTGTTTATTTGAAACTTTTGTCATTGTTATTATAGAATTATAATATTAGTAAGAAACATTTCTTGTTGGAGATCTCGTGTGCAAGTGCCTTGAAACAATATTAATTTATTCTAAATTTCGTCAACATCTTGTAAGTCGAGAAAGTTCTTTTATTACTAATGAGTAAGCCATAATGAATCATGCTAAATATAAATACAATTTTTCTCTCATTTATATTCATACAAAATATTCATTTATATACCAAAAGATAGAGAATTTTAAGCTTTACAAAACTACGAACTTCTCTGTTAATGAAGTATTGAAGGATTGAGAGTCTCTTGAAAATATCCTTCATAATGATTTTGGGAAGATTTTTTACACAATGAAGTTTTTTTTTTTGAGTTAAAGTTCAATTGCAAAGTTCTTATTTGGACATCATAGAAAAAAATGCAGAATTTCGTTCTCTACAAGACTACACAGCTGATGTAGTGCAATGCGACATGTTTTCACCAAAAATCACGATAAACCCAACAAGTTCCAAAGTGAACGTAAAATTTTGTTTTTGTTTGCTATTTATGGTGGCTGAAATTTTTACATGAAGTTATCATTTAAAGTTTTGAAATATAGCCAAAAAAGATAGATAATCTCATTCAGAGTATTTTCGTTTTGTTTGTTTTAGAAACCTAGTGAATTTCTCGGTAGCAATGTCAGACTTTTTTTTTTCGTTTGTTTTTAGTTTTGTGATAGAGATATACAGTGTACTTCAGTGCGTTGATTGATTCAAAATTAAAAACAAATTTCTTTGTGATTGTGAAGTACACAGTTTTGCAGAGCTTGAAATTCTCCATCTTTTGTTATATAAGTGAATATTTTTGTATGAATAGTGCATGATACCTACCGGAAAAGCCGTCGAACTTCAACAGAAACCTGCAATTGTTTCGACAGACGCAGAAGGCGACCCATGGCTGCCGGTAGTCATGTGTCTGTAGAACTCTAAACCTCACTAATTACAGAAAAGACAGAATAGTATATGATTGAAAAACTGCATTTAAAATTAGTCCGATTTATTATAGTACATCCATTAGTAATATGAATGAAATTTATCAAATGAAAAATTTCGTTTTCATTCTTTTTAATCATTTTATTTCTAAAAGAAAACACATCGTTCAACATAATATCATCATATGTTCTGAATAAAATTTCTGCATAAATAAATCTAAAAGAAACGTAAATTAACATTGAATTTTTTCTAATTCTACTCGATATGATTCCATTTGAAGAAATAATGGATCATCAGGTGATGAAATAAAAGATTTCATTTCTTGTATAGCATCGATTAATTCTGAATATGTATAACGATTACATATTCCATTGGATAATTGTACTTCACAAGCACATTTACGAAGTTGAATTAATACTCGTTCAGGTTCATTAATTGGCAATGTTAAACGAGACCGTTCGACACCTAAAATTTGTTGTTTTTTTTCTAGATAATAAATATTGACAACAAAAAAAAAAAAATTTTTACTAATTTACCTTCAGTATATGAACGTAAAGCTGATTGAAGAATAATTTGTTTCGTAGCTGGTCTTGCAATAGAAGAATTAAAAAAAAGAAAATCAGCACGTTGTCTTAATGTCATAACAATATCTAAATCTTTATTTGATTTTGATGCAAGAAAATAATTATCAATTAATTGTATTATATCATTACATAAATAATCAATTTCATTTTCAATTATTTCTAAATAATCAAAATCAATTTTTTTATTTAATTCAATTGATGTTAATTTCCAATAAGATTTAAAATTATAATCAAGTATAAGTTTATTATATGCTGTATAAAGCATTTGACGATCAATTGGTGGAATATCACCATAATTTTTGAGATAATTTTTATAGATTAATATTACTTCATTATAACGTTTAGCACATGTAGCAAGACCAGCTTGTTCACGTAATTCAATTAAATTATCAACCATCTTAAATAGAAAAAAAATCTATTTTCTGAATTTAATTGTACATAAAATATTCAAGAGCAATTATCAATCTCCAGTTTTTATATATAGTATTGAACAAAAGTCTTCCTGCCGTATCTTGACTACTATACATACTGGCGGCCTGAAAATTTGTATGCACATACTGCATTAAGAATTAGGGTCAGAAGCACGAAGTCGCCTCCCGATTGTTTAAATACAACGAGAATTATGATGAAGGATGCCTATCTTTGACTTCAAACTTTTAGCCTGAAAAAAGATTGTCTACTGAATTTTTTGTTACTTGTTATTAAGTACATGACTAATTCTTGATATTTTAGCATGCAAGTAGAGTCCAGTCTATGTTCTTATTTTAGTTAAAAGATCAGGTTATTTAATCGAAGATGATTGTCCATGCATGGATCTGAGTCCTGTGTATTCGAATGGTATTTTCATTTAGTGGAAGATTCTTTCATGAAACTTGCAGGTAATAATGCTCAATTACAGACAAAGCTTATGTAAAAGTTTCAGTTCGAGGAGGATGAGGGACTTCTATCCACTGCTGTAGAAGTGCATCAATCAATGCTACAGTTAATTGATGATGCAATGAGAGATAATTGATAGTTTTCAGCACGTATATTCAAAGTGATCTTTTAGAAAACGTTTATATCAAATTTTGAGTTTAAAAATCAAATTGTTGAATTTTATAAAAACCGACTTCTTGGATGAGTTCATTATCAAGATATCAGTATGTTTTCGAAGAGGTCTAGCGTGTATCTTGATAAAAAGGTTTTATTCATGTTCAATTAGTAGTTGATATCTGTCTTCATTTTTAAAATAATATCAAATGATTAGATCAACACGAAGGAAATCTTCTGTTTTTTAATGATACTTTGTTACAAATGATATTTTTTCAAATTTCGAATAAGTAACTTCGTATGGGTATAAAAGAGAAACGTCAACATAATCAAAATTTTCTATGTTAATTCAACTCATATATATGACAGTTCATAATACAATCCTCTAGAAATGTTCAATGTTTTTACAAATCGGAAAGATTTTATTTTTCAAAGCATTATTTTCCAAATTGTCTATTGAAAACTACTCATTATTTAATCGTTTAGATCTTTTGAATAGATTGATACATCATAGTATCCTATTTAGAATACTGATAACTGCTTTCATTCTTGAGCTATGTACTAAACAATCAAAAATATTCGATTTTTTTAATGAATAGTAATAAATGAAGGAGTATGTTTCCCAAAACATCGAAGAATATTTCATTAATAAATTGGACATTTAGCAATTGAATTGATTTATCATCTAGTAAATTTTTCTTTCTGACAATTCTTTATTTGATTCATCTAAAAATTAAAAAAAAAGACACATAAACGAAACAAAAGATAAAATAGATCTCGACTGTTCGTTATTTATTTTTATTATTGTTATTATTTAAATAAATTTAGTAGCACCAGGTAAAAAAGAAAGAAAAAATCTAAAATAGAAAATAAAGAAATCATTTTTAATTATATAAAATATCATATTATTGTTAATCTTACTTTGTTTTATCATTGTCGTTTTCGAACGGAGATGTTCGATTATAATTGTTGTATTATCATCCGGACATTTTTTATTATTATTAATAAGATGATCAGGTAAAATAAGTAATTCACGTTTTGCTGCATTAAATATTGGAAATGGTCCTTCATGACAAACTTCACCTGTTTTATCATCAAGATCTAATGACCAAATAATCACACCACCATAACCATGTTCTTTTAAGAATTGCATCTAGTTGTTTATTTTTTAAAAGAAAATTCATTCATAGTGATTAATAAATTTATTTATTTTTACTTTAAGTGTAACACTTCGAATATTATCAAAACCAATCCATAATGATTTACTTGATACATATGGAACACTCATTTGTCGATGCCAAAATACACGATTATTTGGATTATTTTGAATTAATTCACAAATCTATTTATTTAAAAATTAATATATGTTCATTTTATAAAAATAAGTGCAAAAAATTTACTTCATAATAAGCAAGAACACCTGCTTCTCGTGTATATCTTCCGGCTTCAGCAGCACTTGCTTTTACTCCAATTGATGATTTTTTCTTTGTTTGTGGTTTACCATTACTCATACCTGTCTCTCCATATAATGAAAAAGCTCGTCCTAAATGAATTATTCATCGTACGAAATATATAAATGTAGAAGAAAAAAAAGATAAACCATAAGCTGAAAGACCAATATTAAGTTTTTCTTTTGGACAACCTTGTTCAACCCATACATGCATAGAACTATTTATATTCCATTCACGAAATTTTTTTCGTTCATTACGCATTCCATATAATGGACTATTATGTCCAGTTTTACCATCCCAACTACCATGATAATCATCTATATTAGCACAAAAAAAAAAAGATAATTTTCTTTTCCGAAACAAAAAAAAAGACTTTTTAATTCGATTACTCACAAGTCATAACTGATACAAAATCAAAATATCTTAAAATGAAAAAAGAAAATTATTAAACATTAGAAAATATCAAACGATATTCTTACTTGCAAACTTCTTCTACTTCATAACCAGCTTCGATTCGATGTCGTG